AGGAAAGCAGAACCTGTCATTGAGGATTCCCCATCAAAGAAAGCAAAGCGCATCAATGAAGGTACGAACTCATTACTGCTTGTCTTGTAAGATATCCAGTGATCCTGAAGACGCCTTTACACATCTCGCTGCTTTATTCCTCTTTAGGATTTTGTCTTTTCGTTGGAAACCTCAACAGCTCTAAAAATTCTGAAGAACTGAAAGAGTCACTAGAAAAATATCTCATGTCACAAAATCTTCTGTTCAAAGACATCAGATTGGACCAATCCAGGTGAGTATGTTTTCTTAATTTATGCTTTATTTTTTTATTTTCATTTTATTTATTTATTTATTGCTGCTACATAAAGTACATAAAGTGATTTTCTGCTGTTACAGGAAACATGCATTTGTAGATTTGCTCTCAGAAATGGACCTGACTAAAGCCTTGACATCAAATGGGGAGGTGCTGCTCGATAAACCAATGAAGATCGCCAAAGCAAAGATCAAAAGTGCAAAAAAAGTGAAGGTGAAATCTCCTGAACTAAAAAAGCAAGGTAAAAATGACCAAATAGATTTGTTTAATGTGCGTTGATTAAATTAATGAACTTCTTATCGAACTTTAAGAATGTGCATTTGTCACATAGTATAAGAGATGGATCTGGCCTCTGGTAGTGAAAAACCAATGTGGAAGTTCCTTGAGCCTTCCAGTCCTATAGGAATCTGTGGCAATGGTCATTAGCAGGAACCTTTGTAAACACTTTCTTAGTGAGTTTAAAATATAAAACATTGTGAGGATCAAAAAAGTAATATAAGCTTTATATATTTAAAAAAAGTGGAACTTTCCTGTATTTTTGCAGCCAGAGATGCCAGATGTTTGTTTGTAAAGAACTTGCCTTACAACGTAACGAAGGAAGACATTCTGAAGGTCTTCCACAAGGCCATCGCCATCCGGTTTCCTGGTGGAACTGAAGGCCCAACCCAAGGGTGAGAGTTTTGAACAGGAAGTTGTCAGATGAGGAAGTCATTCATTACTTGTTTATGCTTTGAAAGGGGGACCTATTATGCTTTCATGTTAGAATGGTGGAAGTTTATGTTAAAGCTGAGATTCTAATGATGAGGTCATAATGTGTACAAGTAATCCCTGTGAGCTAAAAGTTGAAGCTTGAATCTGCTTTAAACTCGTAGTATGATGACGCCACCAAGAGGGGATATCCTTATATGGTCCTCTTGCAATGGCTATGGCAAAAGCCCCACCCACCTGCTGTTTAATCCTTTTGTTTATGACGAAGAGCCAATCAGAACCAGGTTAGCATAAAGGCTGTTAGTGAATGCGCTAAGGCTTAGTATTAGATCATTAATGGTATTTTTAAAAGGGAATCAGGCAAAGCTTTCTACGAGAGTTCAAAGAGATAACATTAAAAATATTAAGCTAAAAATTAATATAATAGGTGCATTTTTAAAGATTGTTTATAACAAGTTCTAAGTGAAATGTCTTTATTTTTCAACAGAATTGCCTTTTTGGAGTTCAAAAACACAAGCATTGCTAGGAAGGTACAGAAGCAAAAACAAGGAGTGACGATCCGAAAGAGGGTTTTGATTTTGAACTGTGTAGGAGAAAAAGGTGTTTGTAGAGTCACTAAAGCTGATGTGGAAAACAAAAGGAAAAAAGGTAAGTGAAATCAGTGAAGCTGTTTGAATATTCTTTTTTAGTAAATTTAATGTGGACTTTGCATGTTCTGACCTCCTTACAGATAAAAAGGCCTTGCAGTCATCCCAAAATATTGAGGCCGGCAAAAAAGAAGCCAAAGAAGAATCGTGTGAAAAGCCAGAGAAAGCAAAGGGTATCATCTCATTATCTTGATGTTTTCAGATTGGCTGCTTGATTACAGAAGTGTGGCGTTTGTGATGTCAGTTTGAGTAAAACAGCGGCGTTAAATTATTAAATGTTTCTTTTCTAGTCCTGTCAAAAACACTGATCGTCATGGGCCTCGCTGAGAAGACCAGTCCAGAGATGCTCAAAAGTGTCTTTGAAGGAGCCGTCAACGCAAGAGTCACTGTAAATAAGAAAGACGTTTCAAAGAGGTCTGTAGCGCGAAGCTGTCTCTTTACTGTGTTAACTGCTTAAACTGAGTTCACGATTCTCACTTGGATGCATTTTACATTTCATTTTCGTCAGGTTCGGCTTTGTGAACTTTGGCAGCGATGAAAGTTGCAAAGCTGCTAAAGAGGCTATGGAGGACTGCGAGCTAGATGGCTGCAAAGTGACTATCGCTTATGCATATCCCAAGGGTAAAAAAAGTCGGCGAGCCTAAGGAGGCTTGGAGGGGGATCCCGATGGAAAGTCTGCAGGTCTGTAAGCTGGCAAAGAAGGAAGAAAGTTGACAGGTGGAAGAGCGAGGACAGGAGGAAAGACGTAACCTACTGCCTCATAAAATGCTCATTATGGAGAGGTCAGCAGACTATAGTGTAGACTGTGTGATCACACACAGAGGGATGAAGTCCCCTTTAGCTTCACTGTAGCGCTTTACTGTCTTTTACTTCATTGTTTTGTTTTTGTTTTGCTTCTTTGCTCAAACCTTGAATTAAATCCACTGTAGTCCACAGAGTTTTTCTTCTTGTTTGTTAGTGAGTACAACTTGATGATGCTATTTTCACTTTGGGTTAGATTTTCTACACCGACATGAAAAGTATGTAAAGAATAATGTACCTAATTCAAATCCAGTACCAAAAAAGTTGGGCCACTGTGTAAAATGTAAGCAAAAAAATAAAATCCAGTGATTTTCAAATCTCGTAAATCTACATTTTATTCACAGTAGAACAATTCAGTTCATTTTTATTTTTATATATCGCCAAATAACAACAACACAGAAAAAAGAACATAGAAAACCTGTCAAATATTTAAACTGAAGACATTTATCATTTTAAGAAAGAAAAATCTGTTTGAGTTTGACGGCAGCAACGTGACATGCTCGTGTTTACCACTGTGTAGCATCCCGTCTTCTTTAAGCAACAGCGCATAAACATCTGGGAACTGAGGAGACCAGCTGCTGAATTAGGGAGAAGAATGTCGTCCTATTGTTGTCTCGGTGATTGTAGCTGCTCAACAGGCCAGTCCAGATCGTCACTATGGAGCTGCGCTGCTGTAATAGATGCAGCACGCGCGTTAACATTATCCTACTTAAGTATGCAAGACTTTCCCTGAAAAACACGTCTTCTGGATTGGAGCATATGTTGCTCTAATACCTGTATATAGCTCTCAGCATTGATGGTGCTTTTCCTGATGTGCAATCTGGCAGTTCCAGAGCACTAATGCACCCCCATACCATCAGAGCTGAACTTAGCTGAGAGAAGACGACAGTAGTGCCGCCTGAGGTCCATTCGCAGATGGTGTATTATAGTTTGCACACACACAGATTTCTCCAGATTATTTTGAAGATATTATGTACTGTAGATGATGAGATATTTAAAGAATAGAGAATTTCAGAACGGTGAACCTCTGCCCGTCTTTACGTCTGAGAACTTCTGCCTCTCTAAGATACTCTTTTTAAACCAAATCACGTTACTGACCTGCTGCTGATTAACACAATTCATTTTAAATTGTTCCTCCAGGTGTTTCTTTTTAGTACCGCTTAATCTTTTAGCCTCTTGTTGCCCTGTTCCAACTCTTTTAAAACATGTTGCTCCCATAAAACTCAAAATGACATCATTTTGCACTTGGTGCTCACTATGGACCGACTTTGTTTTAGACAATCATTCTGTGCGTCCTTCTGATGATCTGATGACTTTTACATGTTTTAACAAGCGCTGTGCTCGCTGCTGGGTTCGGCATTCTGAGGGAAGAATAGAGCAAAGCAGGCAGAGCTTTAGTAGATCTGCAGAGCTTTTTGGAGTAACACTAACAAATTTAAGCTGTTTACACACATTGCTGACCCGCAACAAGCTACATGACTGAGCTGTGCCCAGCTTGCACTTTGCTTGATGCTGGGACAGATTGCTGTGGCACAGTGAAAAATGACATTGCACAACATGTGCCAGACTACAAATGGAAAGCTTGCAGTACTACAAATCTGCAGAATCATATGTAGATATATTCAAGACAACAGACTAAGACTGTTCAGCTATTCAGCTATTTAATTCAGCTATTATTAAACTTAAACTAAAACCTGTCCAGATAAGGATTTAATTTGGAGTTTCCTTTTTTTATCATTTTGTGCTTTGACATAAATTTTAATTGGCTATTTAGCTTTGATTCAGATCAAATGGAAACTAAGTTTGTTTCAGGAAAAAGACGCAGAGGTGGATCGCAGGATGCTGAACTTTGCATATATGACTTCTTTTCTCTTGATTTAATGTGAAGCCTGTGTATTTCTGTAAAATGGTCAATACTCGTGCATCTGACAGCTTTAAATTCAGTTGTCATATTTTGCACTTTAAACCGTTCATCTTATAAAAACTCATGAAAGAAGCCCGCCTTGTTGGCACTCATGTAAGGTCATTTCATGTCAAAACGTTTATTACGATTTGATAAGATGATGAAATAGATTTTTGAAACAAAATCAAGTTTTTTTTGTGTGTGTTTTATTTTTTAACATCTGCAATAAAGAGATAAAAGGTTAACTTGGTGAAACTTCAGCTTCTTAGCGGCCTCCGTGCTGAAACAACACCACCCTCACGGCTAAACGTGCCCCAATATCAAACCACGAATAACCAGTCTGAATACTGCGAGTCAGCCTTGCACACGATTCGTTGCAACTTGCAGAAATTCGCCCCAAAAGCGGTGTCCTTCAGTGACCTCACATCCTGTTTTCCCCACTTCCTTGTAAATGGACCGGTTTGGGACGGTCCGGGTCGCCTCGCAGCGTGGATCTCTTGCTGTGTCCACTGCGCGTTTCTCCAGACACTCGCTGCACGATCCGCAGTGTTTGCGGGCTGCAGAGGGCATCCAAGCAAACTTTAATGCAGCAGCTCCACCATGCAGGGGCTGATCTGATCCAGCAGAGAGAGTGGAGGCATCGGTAAGTCGGCAGCTCGCATGAATCCACGCTCGTTTACGCGATGATTGTAACGTTTTTGGACGCTTTCAGCAAAAAAATGCGCCAAATCTCAGTTTAGCGACAGCTTGCGAAACTTTTTGACGACTTTGATCCATGTTGGTGAAAGTTAGAGAGACTGGAAAGTGCTTTGCGTCCACTGATCATGCCCGATAGGCTGTGATTAAAACCGTGGAAATCTGTGTTTTTTCTGCTCTTACACTCAAACATCAACAGTTGAAATTTTCGCATTTAAAGCAGCGCGTTTATCGCTTTGGTTGTCGGATTTGTTAAATATGGCTCAAGTGGGGCTGGCATGTGGTGGAGACACCTTTTAGAGGATTCACACACCTGGGTCTGTGTGGGCTGCATGTGCTGAAGGGTTTAAGCTGTCATGTTGCACATGTGTACTTGAACAGCTCGGCTAAATCCCTGCTACACATTCAGGACTGGCTTTGATTTGATTTGGACACTCCAATATATTTAAGATCAAGCTGTTGGGAAGCCATTGCTTACATAGAGTGTCAGATTCTTGCAGAGTGCAGCAGTGTTTCAGTTTTATTTATTTCATATCTGCCCCTACAAGTTTTCCTGGCACAGAGAAGCACCATGTGTTCACTTTTAGTGACTTTTTAGTGGCGATAAAGTGGTTTTATATACAGATAAAGGGAAAGTTAAAGGAAAAGCCAATATAAAGGCTGTTGGTAAGGTGTTTGGACAGAACTGCTTTTATGCACATCTGCTGGTTGTCCACAAGCTCCACTGGAGGAATTAACAACTTTAGCTAAAAGATATTGTCTCATATCAGATCTGATAACTATGAAGGGTGTAGTTTATGATTTCTATCCTTATCAAATCTGGAAGAGACCAATCTCATCTCTTATCGTCTTCATTTATGCACTCTACTTGGTTTCTGCTCCTTTACCATGAATTTGTGCATGTGTGAGTTCAGTCTGTGGCAGTGCTGAGGTGTTACTGAAGCCCAGGTTGCTTTGATAGTGGGCTCCAGCTCCCCTTGTTTTTGGGTTGTCTCACCTTCTTCTATAGATTCTTTGTGGTGTTTGAATCAGGTGAGTTGGCTGGCCAATCAAGCTCTAATAGTAGATGGCTGTGTTGACCTTGAATCTGATAAAAAATAAAGTGGACCAACCACCACCGATGCCAGCAGATCACAGACTGCAGAAACTTTACACTGGATTACAAACACCTCGGGTTCTTTGCCTCTCTGCTCTTCATCCAGACTCTATGCCAAATTTACTTCTGTTTTAAGAGTATTTTGGACTGCTGAGCAGTTCATTTTCTCGTTAGCTCAGGTAAGACATTTCTGAATCCCTGGTTCAGGTGTGGCTTCCTATTATGACTCTCGTCGCTCCTTTCCTGAGGACCTCTGTTTCCGGTGGCTGTAGATGCAGACACCAGTCTAAGTTCACTCCTCTTGAAGCTCTCCCAAGTTCTTGAATTAACTTTTCTTCACAGTCACCTTAAGGCTGAAGGTGCTTGTGCGCCTTTTCCCTTCCAGTCAGCTTTCTGTTGATGTGCTTCTATACCGCACTCTGAGAACAGCCAGCCTTTTCAGCTGTGACCTCCTGTGGTTCACCCTGCTCGTGGAGGATGTCGATGATCATCATCTGGGCAACTGTGAAGTCAGCCGGCTTCCCCATGATTGTGGTTGCGTGTACTGAATTAGACCAAGAGGTACACAGTATTTACACTGTTTAAATAATAATTCACCCAAACCCCAAATGAAATCTTTGAATACTTTTCATTCAATAATTCTTTGAGCTGTAAACTCTGAGTTATCACATTGCAGTTTCTGTATAGCGAGTATATAATGCGTAACAATTTCACTTTCTTAAATAACTGAGAGAAAACTTTGAATTTTTCCAAAGATATTGTGAGTTTTTGAGATGCATCTGATCAGATCAAAGACTTGCATGTTAGGATAAGTTTGATTTTTGTCATAGTAAAGCTGAGGTCTATTTGTTTTCCTTTTTTTTTTTTTTTTTTTTTAATTAAAATTTTCCATGGAATAAAAAAATGCACTTTAATGTTAAACCTTTAAATCAAAATTGCAAAGAGTGCTAAATGAAAAAGTACATTTTAAATATTAAGTACTGCATTACAGACAGTACTTGATGGGCCAGGTCAGGCGGATGACGCACACAAAATTGCAGCTGTGACTGTTTTTGAACTTAACAATAGTGCAAAGGTTTCTGTGTATATTGCGGCCTATCATGCACTGATTGTTGCTTAATACTATTCTTATATTTATTATAAGTAATTAACAGATGTGTTTGGACTGGGGTCATGCAGAGTGAGTAGGATTATGATGTGCAGATTACACACTGTCTGTTTTTATTACATTCCTGATTATTGATTTGATAGATAAATAAAGCAAGTGTGTAAAGTGCTTCGAGTCATATTGAGTGCATTAACAATACTGTTCCGGCAAACTTGAAAATCGGCAACATTAAGAATAAACTGTCAGGACTTAATGAAGGCAGATGTTTGCAGAAGAATCACAAGAGGCTTGGAATACGTTGGAGCATTTTTCAGTTCAGGCGGGTTCGGTGACAGATCTTTCTTCCACACAGACTATAAAATGAAGTCATTTTATGCCCTTGACTGCTATTGAAGGACCTTTATCGACTACACAGAGTTGAAGAGATCCTTGATAGCTGAAGAGCTTCCACGAGTGATGACACACCTGCGGGGTATACAGTGGTGACAAATGATACTTTTTTGCATTTCTTCGTAGTTTCGGGACTTCTGAGAAAATGAAGGCGAACGAGGTGAAGCTCATCAGCCCAGGCCTGGAGGATGAGATGGTGAGTATCATTTCAGTTATTTCACTTTTTGGTTTTCTCATATCATCTACTTTTGGCATGAAAATGCACCAGTGTGTGTAAGTATTGTGTAAAAGAAGAGTGAGTTTCAGTCAGATGGGTACAACTGCTTTTTGTTTTTGTTTTTTGTTGTTGTTGTTGTTGTTGTTGTTGTTTTAAAGGAAGCAGGCTGTGTTTACTACAGATGGACATCAGCCAATGGTCTGTGGACTTGGCGTGTTAAAGCCTCAACTGTTACTGTTGGCCCGTTGGTTTACTAGATCCAGAAGTTATAATATTTAGACATGTGGGTGGAGAGCTAAGTTATCACCTAACACTAGGAAGCCATAAACTACATGGGCAAAACGCATGGACATGGCTAACTGGCGTTCAGTAACAGACCAATAAATACTTGGATGGTCTGAACCACTAAGCAGACAGTATTATTTGGCAGGCCATTGCATTAATCCAATATACTGATAGTTGTAACTCGCTACAAAGTAACATGTTTTTTGGTAATGCACTAACTGAATGCAATGTGATTACTGTATTAAAGTTGCAATTATGCCGGTACTTAAATTACAAAGGCTCTCCAGTTATCTGCACGTCAGGCAGGTAGAACTAAAAAGGCATATTTTGTGTATCATTTTTGTCTGCTGGGCTACAGTCAGCTGATTTCAGTTAATGTGCAGAGAGCTGGAAAACCGGAGTGGTGTACAACTTTTAAAGAGTGGAAATTTGGCCATTACCTTTTTTCTTTGCATGAGGGAACAAGAACACGATGCAGAAACAGTCGCATTATACTGACATCATCAGCTCCTTGCAAACATTAGACAGCATGCTAACACAGAGCTAGCTAAGAACCCAAAGTGTTAACGCTGAATGTTTGCCTACGCCAAAACCAGCAGCCGCCTGAACCTCAACAGGTAACAAAAGCAGTGATTATCGCTATTTTTGAAATATAAATGTAGCATCCATTCCTACCTGTACGTGTTTCTGAGGTAGAATCACCATAGTGATCGCTTTTAAAATTCTTTGGGCTGGTTTACATTATTGCTTTGTGTTCAAGGATCGTGTGTGTGTGTGTGTGTGTGTGTGTGTGTGTGTGTGTGTGTGTGTGTGTGACTGGAAACTAAAGCTTATGTTGTTAACTGGTAATTATGTGAGAGTGCGAGTAATGCAAAAGGAATGTAGTGATTAGCAGAGGTGGCAAAAGTACAGAGATTTTGTATTTAAGTAGAAGTACAGATACTGTTTAAAAATACTCTAGTAAAAGTTGAAGTACTGATTCAACTTCTTTACTCAAGTATAAGTGAAAAAGTACAGGCTCTGAAATGTACTCGGAGTAAGAAAGTAGCTCTTTGAAGAACCTTTCTGCCAGCTGTTTCATGCAAAGTTTTCAGTTAAATTTTTATTTTTTGCCCATTTCTTCCACATTATCAGTGTGGTCACTGATTTTCCTTGCCGGTTTGAGCTGTGTTTTAGCTCAGTGAGATGAGCAGCCGTTCTCAGACTGCGAGGCCCGGGTTCAAATCCCGCTTATGGCAACATTTCTTTCAGTTAACAATTAAACTTTTTTTTTAACACTTTTCAGCAGAAATTCTGCTCATTCACCTCTTTTCAGCAAAATTTTTAGCCTTTTCACCTCTTATCAGCACAAATCTCAGCAGCTTCTGCTCATTTCAGCAGAATTGTCAGTCTCTCCACCTCTTCTTTGTGAGAATGAGTTTGGCTCAGTGAGCTGAGTAGCTGCCGTGAGACCAGAAGGGCCAGGTTCGAATCCTGCTCATGGCAAAAGAAAATTTCAACACTTTTCAGAAAAAATTTCTCCGTCTTTACCCCTTTCAGTAGAATTTTTTGATTTTCACCACTTTTCAGCAAAACATTTCTGCTTCTTCACCTGTTTTCAGCAGAATTTTCAGTTTCTTCACCGCCATGCAACTTTTTGCAACTTTTCAACTTGTTCAGCTTTTTTCAGCATTAAGGCATCCACACAGCATTTTCGCAGGAAATGCAAATTTTTGTAGTTCTAATTGTAGTCAGCCTGAATCTGTTTAATAGAATATGAATTTAACCACAACCACAATAAATTCAAAATACACAACTTTATTCAACCAGATGTCAGCAGATGTTACTGATTTCCATCCTCGATACAGTACACAGTTTATGCTGTCTTTATATTAGACACTATAAAGTTGGTATGAAGGTGAATTCAGTGAATGGATCTCAGCATCATCATCTCTGCCACCCTTCATGTAACCTAACTCTGACCATGAAACCTTAGCCACTGTGCACCGGTCACACACTGTTCTTTACTTTAAACTCATCACAGTGCAGCAAACAAACCTGTTTATCCTGTGCTAACTTGCAGAGGATTTTCGTGTATCCTTTAAATAGCACAGTTAGTCTACCTCAGTTTGTTTTTCATATTGTGCAACCTGCTGCAAAACATCATAATGTGACATGTACAGACCCAGTATCTGATTTTAAAAAAGGGGACTTACATGTAAGATTTACATTTCCAGTTAGTCAAACACCAATGAGCCGTCCTTACCTTTAAATCTAACCTCTCTTCCTTTCCTGTCTTTGTCATCTTTCTCCATCTCTGAGTGAAGTTGGCTCTCTTTCTTTTCTCTCCTTGTGAAAACCAGCAGCTCGACCTTTAGTTAGCAGATAAACTGCACACAAACTGTTTGTGTGTTTGCTGATAGAAATGCTGTATTTGAAATTAGCTGCCATTTACAAAACATTACTGCCTTTATGCTCGCTTATCTTTCGTGGGGCTAGCTAGATGCTGAAGTACTGCAACTTCTGGACACCTGCAGTCATTCTGGTACTGTACCAAGAAAAAAGAAAACACCCCTCACTTTAATCCCTTTAACTTTACCAGGCAGTTTTTTTTTTTGTTTTTTTTTTACATCTTTAATCTCTTTTTATGGCACATCACTTGGCGAATAGTACTGAAACAGGATGGCCTTTCATGTGTTACTGTTTAGGCTCAAGTCGGTTTGATATCTGAAAGTCATGAAATAATAACTCCCCTCAAATGCCTTAAACCTAAGGTAATGAGTCTGTTTTGAAAATATAAGGATTAGAAAGTACAGATATTTTTTTAAAAACGTAGAGCGTAAAAATAAAGTTGTTTATAAAAAACAAAACAAAAAAAAAAACCTCAAGTAAAGTACAGATACCTATGGAAGCCCGTTTCCGCCACTAAACCCCCCCAAAAAACAAGTATCCATAGGTCAAAATTTCGAGTTATTTTCTCGAAATTTCGTGTTAGCTCTGCCAATCAGTAATCTAGGTGAATGAGGTCACTTACTTGTTACCTGGAAGCATATGGCGCCGAGTAACGCGCACTATAACCGGATCGCAACAAATTGGCTCTTTCGCGAGTACGTTTGCTGATAGTAACGCCATGTGATTCAGCTAATAACACAAGGATTTCATCATTTTTGAAGCCACGCTGAAAATACTCAGCAATCTGTGGATTCATGACTGGATGTAATACTGGTAGCTTAGCTGTAGCATTTGTAGCTGAAGGTTTCAGCTTCCGGGTAACAAGGAAATGACATCATTCACATAGATTACTGATTGGCAGAGCTAACTCGAAATTTCGAGTTACTTTTCTCAAAATTTTGAGTTAATAAGTTGAAATTTTAAAAAATAACTCAAAATTTGAAGTTATGGATTTTTTTTATTTTTTTTTTACTTGTGGAAACGGGCTTCCATAGATACCTGAAATTTCTACTTAAGTACACTTAAAAAGTATTTGTACTTCGTTACTTCCCACCCCTATGATTAGTATTAACAATTTCTTTATACTGGGAGCAATTAAGTATGCATCCTTCTTAAAAAAGGTAACTAGTAATGGGGTGGGGGGGTAATTGATACAGCATGGCTGCATTTTGTGTTGTGATATTGTATCGATATAGACACCAAAAATTTCTTTTGTTAAATTAATTAAAATACGATGGAAAAACTACAAACTTAAACTCTGATAATTAAATATAAATTACTGTTAAATGTGAATTTCTTTTTATGTAGACAGCATTGATGTTTGTTCATTTTTTTTTTTCAGTGATTTGTTGCAGTTAATTGGTGCATTATCAGAAACAGATTGCACGTAATTACCATTCATTCACAGACTGATAGCAAACTGACTGTCTTACATTTAAAGCAGGTTTTAAGGACAGTGTTGGTACGCTTGATGATCTCATTTTGCAGCCAAAAAATAACTGATGTGAGATAACTTTATCGTATTGCAACAAAACAGATACTGATAAAGTTTAACTTTGAGAACATAATTTGTAGTTGAACAACATGTCACTGCAGTGCTCAGCAGGTCACACAATGTTAATAATCACAGTAATATTGTATTGTGGGTTGTCTACTGAGTCCCACCTCTAGTTAGCTGTGCATTAACATATAAGATGTAAATCGGTGTTAGACTCCAGATTAGGATAAGTCACTAATATGTTTTTCCAATTCTCTTAGTATTTATTACACATTGAATATCTTTGATTTCAAATTCAGTTTCAGTTAGATGAAATAATGCACGTTTTGTCAGTCCATCCCTGGTTTGAGACTGGGGGGAGGCACCAGCTTCAAGGGGGTCACAAGCTAGCGAGCTCCTTGTGCCGGTCCCAATCACAGATAAAAGGGTGGATTGCAAGAAGGATGCCATTCCTGATGCATTCCAGTGCACACCATCCACCTGCTTTGGGAAATACTTACTAGAGAATCACTTGTCTATTAATTAATCTGTGGCTGAAATAAGTCCTTGAATCCAGCATATTACCAGGTGTTTTACAGACAACTACGCAGCCATGTTAACATGTTAGCGTACCTGTGCAGGAGGTGTCGGGTTACAGACCCTGTCTGTGGAAGATGATCCTGGTGGGCGCAGGTGTTATTTGCTCTGGTGGTCTCCTGCTGCTGCTCCTCTACTGGTTACCTGAGTGGGGTGTGAAGAGCACCTGTACTCACACCACGCTGAAGGACGCACACACAGTGCTGCTCAGGACAACGGTATGTGCTGTAGTTTAATATTGAAATGTAGCATGTTATTTCTTTGGCACACATACTGTTCCATACTGTGTCTGATAAATTTGGTGTGGCCTCACGAACAGGAAAACTGTGCTGCTTTATATTGTTACCTCAGGATGAGTTCAGACAGTGGTTTCGAGCCAAAGTGCATGTGATGTTGGCTCCTGGGAAGAAGCCCTTTGACAGTTTGGCTTCCCAGCCTGAAAGCCAGGTACCAAATGGAGACGGAGACCTTGGTGTCAGCGCTGTACACGAAGACTGCTACGGACAGTTTTCTCACAGGCAGCTGGTTCAGGTACTTTAGTATGAAGCCGTGTCTCCTGTTACCATTTGATAGTTTTCTAACTAACCCATTTTAAACAAATCTGTTTCACAGACTAAGTGTTTGGATTCTCCCTTCTCCCCCTCTCAGGTTCACTATTTCGTCCACCACAGCACTCGATACTACTGGAATGATGTGATGCAGAACTTTGAATTATACAAGTAAGCATCCCACTGAGTATGTGTGCTGTAGTCTTGTGTTCAGAATATTTGATGTGCTACATGTATTACAGCTTTTTTTATTTTATTTTACAAATTCAGTTAAATTATATGAATATATAAATATATTTATATATATATAAATTATATATGCTATATATATTATATATGCTTTAAACGTAAAAGCGTGAGGAGGTGTAACAGAATAGTTTTTTTGTTGATTGCATAGTTTTTGCCAGGTTCTGCATGATCAGATACACACCGATAAGGCATAACATTATGACCACCTGCCTAATATTGTGTTGGTCCCCCTTTTGCTGCCAAAACAGCCCCCACCAAGCAATGAATCCTTTAGGTCATGTAAGTTAGGAGGTGGGGTGTCCATGGGTCCGACTTGTTTCTCCTGCACATCCTGCATACATGAAGCAGTGACCCCTGCAGACCGAGAACGCCCCACGATAGCTGCAGCTTTGGAGATGCTCTGACTCAGTTGCCCAGCCATCACAATTTGGCCCTCGTCAGACTCTTAAATCTTCACACTTCCCAGATTTTCCAGCTTCTAACACATCACCTTTGAGGACAAAATGTTCACTTGCTTCCTAATACATCCCACCCACTCACAGCTGCCACGATGAAGAGATAATCAGTGTTATTCACTTCACCTGTCAGTGCTCATAATGTTATGCCCGGTCGGTGTGTGTGTTGCTCTGCTCAGCTGCAGTTGACATGAATTGTATTCATTTTCTAGAGGCCTGGAGGATGTGAATGTGAGCTGTGCAAGCCTTCACTCTGAGCACAGCTCTGGGCTTTCTAAAACATTACAAGACTACAGGTACATGCTGGGCCTTCTTACAGGCTGTTTTCTTAAGTTATTTGCTCATTTAAAAAAAAAAAATAAAAAATGAAGAAGCAGCAGATGGATTTTTCATGATGGACAAATTGGATTCTTCTTTATCAGGAGGCTGTTTTTTGGGGAGAATGAGATTGCAGTGAGAGTGCCCTCTCTGTTAAAGCTTCTGGTAAAGGAGGTGAGTTTCAAGCTCTTGCATAACATATTTTCTTACAGCACATCTATCATTCTTCTAATTCCCCCTCTTTGCATGTTTTTTTCAGGTCTTGAACCCTTTTTACATCTTCCAGCTCTTCAGCATTATTCTCTGGAGCTTTGAAGATTATTATTATTATGCCTCGGCCATTGTTTTAATGTCCATCATTTCTATCGCTACCTCACTGTACACCATTAAAAAGGTGGGTCACGCCTGAGACTGCTCTGCTCTCGGTCACCCGTTTTCAACGCAGTTGTGTTCTGGTGCCTTTCAAGAGCTGTTTTTCTTCTCCTTTCAGCAATACGTCATGCTGCACGACATGGTGGCAGCCCACAGCGTGGTTCGTGTTTCTGTGTGCAGAGGGAATAAAGGCATGTTTTCATCTCTGATCATGACACACAGCTAATAGCTGCTTTGCCTTGTGACTGGCTACAGAGACAGTGTGTATCCAAAGTCTTCTTTCATGATCTTGACCACAGATATTGAACAGGCCATGTCAACGGAGCTCGTGCCCGGCGATGTCATCGCCATTCCAGCGAATGGGATGATAATGCCGTGCGACGCAGTGCTCGTCTGCGGAACCTGCATTGTGAACGAGAGCATGCTGACAGGTGAGACTGCTCTTCGCCGCGCTCGCCGTGGAGAAAAGTTACTACCGTTCTTCCAGGAATCAGTGGTTATCTCTCGTCACTTATCTCTTTACGCTTTATGACTGTTCGTGAGAGGCAGCTGGTACTTCCGTCACTGCTACAATATATCAAAGATTAAGCTGGCTTTGATTTTTAGCTCGTCTAGCTGAAGGACTGATTAGCTTATGCCACAGCGAGGCGTTCTTTGCCCGTCCACAGTTCAGAAGAACTTAGGTCATATTTGTCATTTTACAGGGAATAACCTGATGAGCTATTATGTCATCATTACATTTTTTTTTTCTTTTTCCTTCTTTCTTTTTTTTTTTTTGCCCACATTGTCATACATGACTTTATTGTATCATCACTGGTCCTTTAAAACAAGTTCAGCAGGCTCTAACTTATGCAAAGTTCATCTGCTTTCCTTGAATGAATCCATAGATTTGGACATCATATCCTTCTCTGACCTTTTGCTCTCAGTTAGAAAGCTGTTAAGGCACCTCACACTTTGCTCAGTTTAAGATAATTTTACTCTGATTGGCTGGCATTCACAAACAGGAGGTTTTTAAGAGCATGTGGGCGGGGCTTTGCAGTAGTCACATTAGAACGTAGAAGCTCGTCCTGAAAACATGGACCCAGATGTACCTGGATCCAAGGCAAGCATCTTCTAACATTTGCACATTATTGTTTACCAACTAAAGGAAAACACGCTAATATACTTTGAAATTGGACTTTTTCCACCCCAACCAGTGAGTAAACTAAAAGCATCGTCCAGTCTTTAATGAGCGCTACGATTCATGGTTTGGAAAAATTACAAAAGTTCAAAATGCCTTCCTCCTTCACATTTTCCAAAGCTGTCCAGCGAGGTGACTTGAAGCCAGGTGGACGCTGAAGCCTGCCTATATGTGAATGGGAATGATGCGAGCTCTGAGATGTTTTATTTTCTGCATCTCTAGTGTTCTCATTTTAAAAGTCATCTGTTTGCCTATCATCTGATAATAAAACTTTTTACATCATAGAATTTTTATATTTGACGTTTGTTCCTTTTATTTATGTCTGCTTCGTTGTATTGCTAGGTGTTGGTTTTGTTTTATGACTATTTGTCATAAGTAAATATCCCATGTAATTAAATACAGTCATGTGAAGAACGTTTTTCACATGACTGTAAACGGTCCTTTGAAAAACTAAGAATACACTATGATTCATTAGCCTGTAGAACCACTTTTGGCAGCAAGAACTCATGTATGACACGTGTGTCTTACATCATTATGGGGAGATTTTGGGCCACTTATTTCACAGTGTTTAGCTTTTTAACGTTTTTGGGCATCGAGATATGCACAGTTCTCCTGTTAAAGTCCTGCCGCAGCATTTCAGTAAGTTTGCGGTCTGGACTTTGCCAAGGCATTCGCAACACCCCAATTCTCTTCTTTTTAAGACATCTTGATGCAGATTTGCTGCTGTGTTTGGGATCGTTGTCCTGTTCAATGACTAGTTGTTAGACAGATGACATCACATTTGACTTATCACGAGTTTATGGTCGACTCAATAACTGCAGGGTGCCAGGTCGTGTGGATGTAAAACAAACCCGAATCATCACGCCTCTACCGCCGTGGTTGACAGTTTGTTTGAGCTCTCTGTGCTGATATGCACCAGACAAGGTGAAATGCAGACTTTGTTTTTCACGTGACTGTATGTTGAAAGCTGGATCCTGTCCACATATTGTGATGTCCTGGTAGCCATGGTTTTTGGCACCATTTGTTTTTTTCCCCTCCTGTAGGTCACAATATGTGATGCCCTGGTGGTTAATTGAATAAATATTTTGCTGGGATTCTTCTGCAATATTTCAGTAAAAGCCGTTCTGGTCTTCATTTCTGCATCTGTTCTTTTTGATATTTTCTTTTGATTATAAAAAAAAAAAATCTCTTTTAGGAGAGAGTGTGCCAGTCACCAAGACCAGTCTGCCCAGTGCTGGCGAGGAAGGAGCCAGGAGCTACAATATAGAAGAGCATAAAAAACACACGCTCTACTGTGGTACCCACATCATCCAGACCCGCTTCTACACCGGAGAACTGGTGAAAGCTGTTGTGGTGAGAACAGGTAAACTGGAGAGAGACGGACTGGGACCCACTGTGGTGGTTTAGCTTCTGCTTTAGACTGAGCACCCTCAAAAGGAAGAAAATAATCAGAGTATTACTTGTGTGTCTCCACAGGCTTTAGCACAGAGAAAGGCCAACTTGTGCGTTCTATTCTTTACCCTAAACCCACTGACTTCAAGCTGTACCACGACGCATACCTGTTCCTGTTGTGTCTTGTTGGGGTGGCAGGCATCGGCTTCATCTATACCATCGTCCTCAGCATCATGAACAAGGTATTACTGCTCTTTAAGAGGCTTATGAAGGTCTTCAGTGAGCTGAATCACAGTTGCTGTCGGTTCTCTCCAGGTCCCAGCTAAAACCATCATTATTGAATCTCTGGACATCGTGACCATTACCGTGCCCCCGGCCTTACCGGCCGCCATGACGGCCGGCATCGTTTACGCACAGCGGCGTCTGAAGAGCGTCGGCATCTTCTGCATCAGTCCGCAGAGGATCAACATGTGCGGTCAGCTTAACGTGGTTTGCTTTGACAAGGTGAGTTAGAAAATGTTGAAGCTGAGGATCTGAAGTAGCTCAGAAATCAGTCCTCAGACAAAATGCATGGAAATTGGTTTTCAACACATTCAAACCCACTTCCAGTTCAAGCACAAGTTCTTTTTTGAGAGTGACTGCATGATTTAATGACCGTAAACGTCTCGAGGCAGAGCTGTGGTCGTGCAAATATGCTGTTTGTTCATAGCACCGAGCTTTATGCACTCAAAAGAGTGATGCTGTACAAGTTTATAAGGACTTAGACGTATCTAAGCAGGCTGTGCTTGACATGTAATTTTCCTTTTGTTATCACGAGCACCCACTGAGCACAACGAGAAACGGGTTGTAATGTTGTTAGTTTGAGAAAAGCATTCAAAGTTGATAAATTTGATTCATTATTCAGTGAAGTCTGTTTTTCCAGGCATTTTCCAACATTTTCTAGATTGTATAATTCATTAAGAGAAGGAACAAATTCATCAGTTCTGAAAATAAAAAGACACAGACTTTATTCATAGTTTGTTTGGTTGTAAAGGAGCTAAAGTTTGTTGTTGTTGGTTTTTATTTATTTATTTTTAACACTGACCTCAGTTGGTAGAAAGATTATGTACTAAACAGCTAAATGCTTCCACACGGACATGCTGGGTCACATCTTTGTCCTTGTTTTGTCCTTTGAGGAAGCTGCTTAGTCTTGTTCCGTTCCACTGTCTAGAATTATGGGCTGTTCAGATTGATTTCCTGCTCTTGCTGATGAGATGTACGAGGCCTGAGTTGGTAGCTTCGTAATAATGTGCAGTTTTTGTTTTCCCTCAGACTGGTACTCTGACCGAGGACGGTTTGGACCTGTGGGCCATTCACAGGGCTGAGGATGGCAGGTAGGAAGTGGCAACTTTGGGTTTATTGCCATTCGTGTGCATGTTAAGATCAGATCTCCGAGTATAACCAGAAACAAATAGGAACTGCTATAGCTCACCTCTTTGTGCAAGTAGCAAATATGCCAAAGGCAACTGCAGGTGCCTTAGTTCAACTTGCCCCTCAGTCATTTCCTGCATATTGCTCCCCCCCACTCCATCCATGCTTTACTGTCTAGTCTCTGTAAAGTTCTCTCAAAGTAAAGACGGCACATACAAAACGGTATTGCATCACTGCATCATAGCTTTAAAATGCTTCATTTAGCGGCTTGTTGATTTATTGAATAACAAAGAATGCATCTGTATTTTACTGCTGTCCGCTAACAGTTTCTCTAATAATTTTGTCCTGACACATCTGAAGGAAAAGTAATTGTGTCTTCTTTGGTCATAGACTGTAAAATGGTAAATGGCCTGTATTTGTATAGCGCTTTACTAGTCCCTGAGGACCTAAAGCGCTTTACACATCCAGTCATCCACCCATTCACACACTGATGATGGCAAGCTACATTGACTAACAAGATGGCGCGGCCACGTCCAGACGCCTTCCTGACCGCTCCGCTCCGGTTACATTTCACTGTGTGTTATACTTGTATAACTATGCATGTGACAAATAAAGAACCTTGAACCATTCACACACACATTCACACACTGGTGATGGCAGCTACATTGTAGCCACAGCCGCCCTGGGGCGCACTGACAGAGGCGAGGCTGCCGAACACTGGCGCCACCGGGCCCTCTGACCACCACCAGTAGGCAACGGGTGAAGTGTCTTGCCCAAGGACACAACGACCGAGACTGTCCAAGCCGGGGCTCAAACCGGCAACCTTCCAATTACAAGGCGAACGCCCAACTCTTGAGCCACGATCGCCCCGAACTGTACATAGTAGATGGCAAGCAGAGGGCGTATCTGATCGTGAAAGTCTGAGGCTAAATCTTTTCTTGATGAGTTTATGGGCAAAGTCAATTATTTTAAATCTTGTTAAATATATAAAAAGTCTGGTTTTTTTGTTGTTGTTTTTTTTAGAAAATCTTTCTTTGGAGTAAAGCTGCGTATGCTTTAGGGTGTGGCTAACATGTTGCTACAGTAAACATCCTGAGGACTGTTACTCGGTTGAATCCACTCGATGCTAATTTCTTCTGATTTCAGAAAACCAACCAAACAACGTCCGCGCTTACATTAGTAGCCTGTGAACCAATAGTTCCATCTTTTATGTACAGTCTTAAACTTTGCCTCTATGAAACACTGGACAGAGAAATTTAGACCTTTACTATCAGGGCTTCTATTAACAGATTTGGAAATGTCACAGAAACTTTGTGTTGTTTTCACACAGAGTTATATAGAGTCACGATTTGCTTCTTTCGCACCTACAAAGAATCGAGTCGTTGAGTCAGACCTTCTCTCTTCGCTGCAGCTTTTGTTCACCTGAGTCTGAGGCTGCTAAAGTCAGTCTTGTAAACACTACATTCGTGGCCTGCATGGCAACCTGCCACTCACTGACCAAAATAGAAGGAGAGCTCTCTGGAGACCCTTTGGACCTCAAGATGTTCAGCGCTACAGGCTGGGTAAGCAGAGATTTGGAGTGTTTAGCGTGGTTAGTTACTGATAGCCTGTAAGTGAAATCTCCAGCTCCAAGCTCCAGGAAAAAAAAAAACCTTTATTTACAGCAGCCTTGACTCAGTGATTCAAGGCAGAAAGGTGATGCTTTTGTTTTAGATCCTAGAAGAACCCACAGAGGAAGAAACCGCGCTCCACAATCCCATAATGCCCACAGTTGTACGCCCTCCAAAGCACATCGCCCCTGAAGCCCATCAGAGCAATCCACTACCTCAGAGCATGGTACCGTGACCTCCGTATGTTCATTGATGACTATAAATCAATGCCGGATTTTCCTAATATGACACATTTTGTTTTTTTTCTTTTTCAGGAGCTTTCTGAATTATCTGTAAGTTGCCACTTCATGAAAACATCAATGTTTTTGTATTCACTTTGTTACTCAGTGTTAAATCTTGTAAATCTGACGTAGCTAGCTGAAAATTATAGCCTAGCATGAAGCCTGGAAGCAGCTGTCAAACTGTCTTTGAATCACTTGTTATGAAGAGAATAAATCAACACATTTTTAGAATCGGAGCAATATTTTTTTTTTTTTTTCTTCCCCCCAGTTCAAACATGTGACTTTTGCTCCTCAGGCCTGTGAGATGGGCATTGTGCGTCAGTTCCCCTTCTCCTCGGCGCTGCAGAGGATGAGCGTGGTGGTCAGGAGGCTTGGGGCAAAACACATGGACGCCTTCTTAAAAGGGGCACCGGAGGTGGTGGCCAGCCTCTGCAGACAGCACACAAGTCAGACATGGGATGGTTATTTCCTCCCTTTTAATTTGACTTTGGTGTAAAGAAATACAAATGAATAAAATATGTCCTCCCTGTCCCACAAAATCATTTCTTATCTTGTCTCATGTTATATAATAAGGTCACACCAACATAGCTCTGACCTTCTGTTTAGTCCCACAGACGTTCACAGAGACTCTGGAGGCCTACACCAGGCAGGGCTTCAGGGTTATTGCCCTGGCACATCGTCAGCTAGAGTCCAAACTCTCCTGGCACAAAGTCCAGAGCCTCAGCAGGTACTGTACGCCCGTATCCTCAGATAATACTGCCCACAGTGCATGTGGATACTCCCACCCTGAAGAAAATGCTTGTAATGTGGTTTCTCATCTTGCTGATGAAGCTTTTAGAAGCTCGAAGCCGCTCTTAGAGTAACTTAGCTCAAAGTCCTTCTATTGCAGGGCAGAAAATGTCCTTGCTAAGTGAAACATGAGGAGGAAGGCTTGTTTGAGAGCTTTTATATTGGAAGTATTTGAAATGACTAGCAGTTTTGTCATCTGCTACAATGTCGTGCTGCCAAAAGGCACAAAACTGTTTGAGGCGACTGCAATATGAATGATTTATTAAGTGACTCTATGCTCAAAGACGTGCTCGCTGAACAGCAGCATATTAGTGTTTGTTTCCGGGTGTTTGGGGTCAGTGTGATAAAAGTAGGAAATCATTAACTAAACTTAAAAACAGGAAGAATGTTATGTAAGTGAGCTGAGCTCTTAAACTGCTTTGATGCAGCGATAACCTCAGATTTATGATGTCTAAAAGTCAGAAGTCACCGTGTGTCCCAGATTCATCCTGATATCTGTTTTTTCTCTAAATGTGACTTTTTGTGGATTCCTTAAAAAATGGCAGCACAATTTATAGAAGTCTATGATTTTTCTCTCATAGGGACGTAATAGAGACCAACATGGAGTTCCTCGGTCTGATCATCATGCAGAACAAAATCAAACCAGAGACTGCTGGTGTTTTATGTGAATTACAGCGAGCCAACATACGCACATTGATGGTCACGGGTAATGCAGCTCAGTCAATTTGTCTTTTATTTGCGACGCAAATTCAAATGTTTGTGCCTCTCATTTCCCTCCTCTCCTCTGTATCTTCTGATAGGCGACAATATGTTGACGGCCATATCGGTGGCTCGAGACTGTGGAATGGTCCGTCCACGCGAGAAGGTCATAATAGCAGATGCTGTGCCTCCCAAAGATTTCCAGCCTGCGAGTATCACGTGGCATTACACTGAAAACCAAGCTCAGGCTGTTAAGGACAACGAGGTAAGAACCACCGAGTAATCCCCGGTTAGTGGACGGTACTGGGAAGAAGGTTTGAGCCAGCCCTTGTAGTTCTCCAGACTTCTTGAAGGATGTTCCAGAGCTCTTCGTTGGATGTTGACTGCCTTTTGTTCCTTTCTCTGCTTCATTAAAGTTTGAATAATCTCTCCATCAGATATGTTGATACTGATTTCCAGTCCAGTTCTTGTGTAATTTTCATACCTCAGCCTTTTCTCTTTGTTTCCCTTAAGAATGGCTTCTTGACAGTCACCCTTCCACTGAGACCATTTCTGATGAGGCTTCAGTGAACAGTGGACGGATCAACTGAAGGCCCATATTTATCTCTCAGATTCTGTGTCAGCTCTGTGCTGTTGTTTCTCAGACATGACTTTCAGATACTGTTTATTTTTAATGGTCTGCTATTTCTTCTTCTCTTTCCTCAAATCTTAAGGCAGGAATATCAAACTCATTTACATACTGCCCATCTTATGTGGTCTAGACCAGTAAAACTGCCCTTTCTGTCTGTGTAAAGACAGCTGCTTGCAAAAGTATTCGGCCCCCTTGAACTTTCCCACATTTTGTCACATTACAGCCACAAACAGGAATCAGTTTTATTGGAATTCCACGTGAAAGACCAACACAAAGTGGTGTACACGTGAGAAGTGGAGCGAAAATCATACATGATACCAAACATTTTTTACAAATAAATAACTGAAAAGTGGGGTGTGCATAATTATTCAGCCCCCTGAGTCTTTGTAGAACCACCTTTTGCTGCAATTACAGCTGCCAGTCTTTTAGGGTCGGTCTCTACCAGCTTTGCACATGTAGAGACTGAAGTCCTTGCCCATTCTTCAGCGTTTGTGAACAGTAGTTTTCAGATCTTGCCACAGATTCTCGATTGGATTTAGACACCAGACAGGTCAGGGATAAAGTTATTGAGAAATTTAAAGCAGGCTTAGGCTACAAAAAGATTTCCCAAGCCTTGAACATCCCACGGAGCACTGTTCAAGCGATCATTCAGAAATGGAAGGAGTATGGCACAACTGTAAACCTACCAAGACAAGGCCGTCCACCTAAACTCACAGGCCGAACAAGGAGAGCGCTGATCAGAAATGCAGCCAAGAGGCCCATGGTGACTCTGGACGAGCTGCAGAGATCTACAGCTCAGGTGGGGGAATCTGTCCATAGGACAACTATTAGTCGTGCACTGCACAAAGTTGGCCTTTATGGAAGAGTGGCAAGAAGAAAGCCATTGTTAACAGAAAACCATAAGAAGTCCTGTTTGCAGTTTGCCACAAGCCATGTGGGGGACACAGCAAACATGTGGAAGAAGGTGCTCTGTCAGAGAGACCAGCAAATGGAACTTTTTGGCCAAAATGCAAAACGCTATGTGTGGCGGAAAACTAACACTGCACATCACTCTGAACACACCATCCCCACTGTCAAATATGGTGGTGGCAGCATCATGCTCTGGGGGTGCTTCTCTTCAGCAGGGACAGAGTTAGGCGAAAGCTGTGTCGGTTGAATCAGTGCAGAGCTTGGACATGGGAAGATGAGAAGTAGCGAGCCCAAATACAGGCAAGTTGGTGAAGAAGAAAACCTTCTTGGAGTCTGCAGAAAAGACTTTGAGACTGTGGGCGGAGGTTCACCTTCCAGCAGGGACAACGAACCCTAAACAGTAAAAGCGCACAAGGGGACATACATTGGTAACGCATCGTTTCGTTTTTCTATTTTTATTTTTTTTAAAAAAATACAAACAAGACACATTATACCGGATCAGCTGTTAGACCTGGCCCAGTACCAAAAGCTGTGTTGATAGAGACATACCCTAAAAGTCAGGCCAGCGATTGTATTAAAACTTAGTTGTTTCAGCTAAAGGCACCGAGATTGGTTTTCTACAAACAAATTCAGACATCGGTTAGGTTGCCTGTCGATAGGGCAATGAATTATATAACACATATGTCACTGATGAATTGAGGATGATGTCAAAAATGATAATCACGATTATTTTCACTGAAATTGAGATCTCGATTATTTGACGATATTTATTTAACCCTTTAAGACCTACTATAGAACCAAGTCCGCCAGAGCTTATATTATTTTTTACATGTTGTAGTGCCATTTGTGGGAGCATTTCAAGTTGCTATACAACTGTTATAGCCCATATTTTAATAATATGTATGTATTAAGTCCATAGTAACTACATTAATTGCAAAAAAGTGCAATAAACTACAAAAAAAATTGAAAATCGTTTTTGTTTTTTTACATATATTTCTACTTGGAGAAATTTAAGAGGTTTATCCCTCAAAACTTTAAATACAAAAAAGTTGCAAAAAATAGTTTACAACAACAGGAAATTTATTTTGAGTGTCTTCATAGTTTTATTTTGGAGATACACCAATTTTTATATAACTGCAGGAAAAACGAAAAAAACAATCCTATGATGCAAATTTGCAAAGAAAACAGCATGTGCATCAAAATAAACTATTTCCAGCAGTGCAATTCGAGTTCTAAGCATCCCAGAAACTATTCAGAAAAGTCAAACATGACCAGTATAGATTTTTAAGGCCTACAAGTAAAAAACTACATTTCCGCGAAAATGACGTCACTTCCGGTTTCGGCCAGGAAATGGCGGACATGTGATAGTTCGCCCTGACGTCTGTTTCACTGTGGGAAGTGTTACGAACAGCTGATCGGATCGGCAAAGCGTGTTTCTGGAATATTATGTTTTTGTTCCTGCAAGCGCTTTTTATGCAATTTTTGCAAAGCTATATGTGGAAGGAAACCGTGACCGAGGACAAGCTGATGGCATAAGATGTAAGTACAACTCCTCCGGTTTCATATGCAAAACAAATTATTGCGCTAGCTTACCGGTTCAGGTTCTACAGGGATTTAAAAATAGTTACACAAAACGGAGCGTGCTGCTCTGACCGGCTTTAAAGGGTTAACAATGACTTTAAAAAATAATATAAAATAGTGTGCAACACCACTGAAGTTTTTTTACCTCTCTTTTCAACCAACGCAGTCACTCTCCTCTCCAAATAACTTCTGCTTAGCTTTCCGAGCTTCCCTCGGGTCCTCTTAATCAGCGGTCTCCAACCTTTTTTGCGCCACGGACAGGTTTATGCCCGACAATATTTTCACGGACCGGCCTTTAAGGTGTCGCGGATAAATGAGGGAGGGGCTAATAATCGGCTCAGTCATTTTTAATGATCGTTGAAAGCCCAGATCGTAATCGTGATTAAAATTCGATTAATTGAGCAGCCCTACTCAGGGGGGCTGAATAATTACACACACCCCACTTTTCAGTTATTTATTTGTAAAAAATGTTTGGTACCATGTATGATTTTGGTTCCACTTCTCACGTGTGCACCACTTTGTGTTGGTCTTTCACGTGGAATTCCAATAAAACTGATTCATGTTTGTGGCTGTAATGTGACAAAATGTATGTATTTATATATAATGTATTTTAGATATTTTAATATAAGTTAAGTTTTTAACACATTTATATAGTAGAAAGTATCTTTTTATCTGTAACTTAACTACTTTTCCAAAGCCTTCCAGAGGGCCGGCTGAAGGCTTTGCTGGGCTGATTCTGGCCCCCAGGCCTTATGTTGACACCCCTGTTTTAGGGACACACTGCACACCATTCTGAGACATTAAAAGCTTTCAGCTATTAGCTCTTTGGCATTCATTTTTGGTTAGTGCAAAAATACAATTTTACGGCTGTCAAACTGTGTTTTCGTTGGCATTTTTCATAGATTGAACACAAGAAATGGGAACAAATGTGTTTTTGTGACAGGCTGTTGGTAACAAAGTGCCTCAAGATACGAATATTACAGGAAGGTCTGGCTCCTTGGAAGCAACCATTAAAAGCATTGACGTGTGTGTCGAGACACTTTCATGGTACTGTAATTCAAGGAAAACAACACATGCCTGGACAGATGATTTACCTTCTCTTGTTAAGGCTGGTTTTTAAATACTGTTCCAAATCCTGTTCAACCACTCTGCTGTTTGCAGTAGGTTTGACACCCTACATGTTGAGGCATCTCTTTACTTTTACAGTATTTTTGCCTTTGAGTTCATATAGAATGCAAGAACTGAAGCATTTGTCAGTGCAGAGCTCGTTTTATACATTTATACATTTTTCAGTCGTTCAGTTTCATGAATCACTTTAGGTTTAAAAATAAAAAAAAAAGGGGTAAAAAGGTTTGTTTGGCTTAAATCTGATATTTTATTCTCCACATAAAATAGTACCATGGTATGACTGGCTCATCTTTACGCCTTCAGATTGTGGAGATCGAGCTGGATGAAGGGACCTGGGATGGGGAGGTTTCTCAGGAGCAAAGTTATCACTTCGCTGTAAGCGGCAAGGCCTTCGCTGTCATTATTGAATACTTTCCCCAGCTGGTCAAGAAGGTACACGTACTCTTTGTCTGTTACTTGGTCCACGTTAGCTTTGAACATGTGTAAAGCTGTGTAATTCTCCTTTTCCCCTCATGGTGGCACTGCAGCTTGTGCTGAGAGCCACCGTGTTTGCTCGCATGGCTCCAGACCAGAAGACTCAGCTGGTGGAAGTCCTGCAGAGCATGGAGTGAGTCGCTCCTCTGTTTTGTGGTTTTGCGTTTAATTCGTTTCATGCCACCCGTGTGTGTCTTCACGTGTTTTATTTATCTTCCAGTTACACCGTTGGGATGTGTGGTGATGGTGCTAATGACTGTGGAGTAAGTCTGAGTCAGCTTTATAATAAAATAATGATATTTTTCATCGTCTCTTATGCTTTTTTGCAAAGCAAACTGAAACACTGTAGCCTCTTAAAGCTGAACAAGAGGCTACAGGTGGTATAAAGCAACCTGCATATCACATACTTGGACTAAGTGTAAAGTAAACCACATGTATGCATGCTTTAAAAGCATTTATGTAGGTTTACATTTTACTTGCAGTCATGGTTCCTTTTGACTTTGTGGTGTTTTTTTTTTTTTGTTTTGTTTTTTTCTCTGTTCCCTCGGTGCCCACAGCTGTAGTTTCCTTAAATATTCTATGTACTGACACACAGTAATTGATCTATTTGATGTATTGATGAATAAGTTACTCTTATCAAACTGAGTGTTTTACCTCTGGGTTTGAGTAACGCTGCAAAACCAAAGTGAGTTATATTAATTTAGTCCTCTCTCCCTCTCAGGCGCTGAAGAGAGCTCACAGCGGGATTTCTCTGTCAGAGCTGGAGGCGTCAGTTGCGTCACCCTTCACCTCCTCTACCTCAAACATCTCCTGCGTCCCCAACCTAATCAGGTAAAGCAGTAAATGTATCTCACAGCTTTATTCACACTCCGAGAGCATCTTCAGCTGAGAACGGCTTTGATTTGAACTCTAAATCCTGTGTTTCCTTCCAAAGGGAGGGACGGGCCGCCCTCATAACATCGTTCTGCGTGTTTAAGTTCATGGCTCTCTACAGCATCATCCAGTTCATCAGTGTCATCCTGCTCTACTCGGTGAATAGATATTTGTCCTTCCAAATTTTTTCTCTTTGTCACCTGCTGGGAAAACATTGTGTCATTTGAGACACCATGAATAAAATGGGGGGAAGGGTCCCAAATAGGAATGTATACCATATCAAACTTTGATACGGTTCCCACAAGTTGCGTCTTTAAAAAGAAGTTTAGGTGAAACAAAGGAACGTGACAGCAAAGTGACGCGCCGCTGCTGGGAAAAGGATGACAATGACACAGTGTGACACAGGAATGTAGGTTAGCTCTAAAGTCAGCGAGTGTCAGCTGAGATTATAGAGCCATTAATTTGTCGCTGTGTGATCTTTTGATATTTTAGGTTCTCAGCAACTTGGGAGACTTCCAGTTTCTCTTCATTGACCTCATCATCATTATCACCATTGCCTTTACAAGTGAGCAGCGTGGCGACGAGCACAAATTTAAAAAAAAAAATAAAAACATTTCCAGTCAGTGTTTAAAAAAACAGCTCTCTAATGACTATATCCTCTCTGTCAGTGAGTCTGAACCCAGCCTGGAAGGAGCTGGTGTGGCGTCGCCCGCCATCCAGTCTGATCTCAGGCCAGCTGCTCTGCTCAGTCCTGACCCAGATCCTCACCTGCCTGGTCTTCCAGGTCCTGGCTTTTCTCCTGGTACGACAGCAGAGCTGGTACGAGACATGGACGCCTGAGTCAGAGTGAGTAATGGAGATTTATTTATTTTTTAACATATCTGTGGTCTGTTAGGATTATTAATGTGGTGATGGCACGTGCTTAAAAAGAAAAAAATCTGCCCAATATTTCTTTCAGACACACTAAACATAAACCGATTTCTCTAACAGTTGTTATGTGAAGCTCTTTATTTACTGCTCAAGTTGGCGGCGTGCTGTTTAATATCAGTAAAAGAACAGAGACGTTTGAAACGTTTGCTTTTCACTTGCCTTTATCGTGTTTGATTTTTGCATTCTTTGTTTGTAAAAGGAGACATTTGTCCTCATTTTCTGCATTTTTCTCTTTTCCTGCAGCGCCTGTAATGTTTCCAGGTCCATCTTCTCTCTCAGAGTTAACGTAACTGATCCTCAAAACCATAAAAACATCAGGAACTATGAGAACACGTCCCTCTTCTACATCTCCACCTTCCAGTATTTAGCTGTGGCGATCGTTTTTTCCAAGGGAAAACCCTTCAGACAACCAAGCTACAAGAACTGTAAGGCTAAGACTGTTTTGTCAGCGATGCGTGTTTCAAATTTTAAGGAAACACAAATACACTTTTAAGCGTTAAAAAGACAGAAAAGGAGTGTAAAAACAGTCACAACGTAGAAATTTCCCCGTATCCCACATATAAATTGATAAAGATTGTAACTTTTCTTCCACGAGGGCTGTTCATGCTGACCTGCATCGGTCTGTACACTTTTCTCCTCCTCATCATGCTGCATCCCTTCCCTGCTGTTGACAACTTCTTGCAGGTAAACGTTGTTTCTCTCATTTTCTCCGCGTGTTACTGTCACACCACAGGCTTTAAGTTGCCTCGTGTTGGGACTGAAAAAGAGAAACATCTGCGCAAAAGCGTGAATATCTGAGATGTTGCATTGGCTCAGAGGTGCCGCATTCACCGCTCTCCATCCTCTCCTGCCTCCCCAGATCGTGTGTGTTCCCCATGACTGGCGTGTCACTCTAGTGATCATTATGATCGGGAATGCGGCTGCTTCTTTCTTGTTGGAGGTACGGCTCAGAAACCACCACACCCTGCCTGCTTGCTGTGATTGAGCTCCTTTTAAAATTGCAAACTGTGATTTTGCATGCTTTAATTTAGTTTATTTTGCATGTGATTTCTTGCTTTCTTTCTTACCGAGTAAGTGTCGGTGGTGCATCACTGCTAAGTAATGAAATCAGTGAATCATTTTTTTCTCCATTTAAGATGTTTTCGACTTTCTGATTTTCATAATCAGCTGATTCTCAAGTTCCTGAAATCTTCCATAGATTTTGATCCTTGACATCATCTTGTGGAGGCTAGTTTTCAGAGGCAATCACAGGGCAAGTCGCCCCGCAGAGTCCTCCTCTGCTCACACGCCGCAGGTTGGGAAGCTTTTCACTACACTTTCTGTTCTTTCACTGTGTAGACAGTAGCATGTTATCCTTAACCTCAATTCTCCTGCTTTTTTCTTCTCATTTTACAACAATAACACGGATTACATAGCCAAAAAAAGTTAACATTTACACTATTGAGCAGGTCATGAATGACCAAGTCTAGCTCATTCTATGAACCCATCAGCTTCAAGCTCTTTTTTTCAGTCACCAATGGTTATAATGTCTTATTGGGGCCATTGTAGGCTTAGATACATAAATATGGGGCTGGGAGTGTTGGTAATATTCAAACAGCCAAAAACAACAATTTTAATCCATGATTAAATTCACAAAAAAGTGACAGAAAATGACGCATTGGAGATGGTGGTGGTCAGAGGGCCCGGTGGCGCCAGTGTCCGGCAGCCTCGCCTCTGTCAGTGCGCCCCAGGGCAGCTGTGGCTACAATGTAGCTTGCTATCGCCAGTGTGTGAATGTGTGTGTGAATGGGTGAATGACTGAATGTAGTGTAAAGCGCTTTGGGGTCCTATGGACTAGAAAAGCGCTATACAAATGCAGGCCATTTACCATTTTTTCCACCTTACATGTTCAGGTGGCCAATGACCGCTGGGCTTCGTCCGTCCTCTCCTGGTTGTTCTGTCGGAGACACAAGGCACCAAGGGCGCTGTATATGCAGCTGGCTCTGGAGCTGCAGGAAGGCAGTGAGTGGCCCCCCCAACCCTCCGCTGTCACCTATGCCAGTGACCTAAAATCCAGCATCTCTGACCTCAATGTGACTGCCAACCAAAACTCAACACAGGCTAAACCTGAAGCTTCCCTAAAGCTTGTATGATGGTTTAATTCACCTCCTCAAAATGGACAAACACCCTGTACTTCTATCGTAGCCGTACTGTCGTATCTCGCTACTGAAACTTGAGCCAGAGGATTATTAAAGGAAAAGCTTGGCATTATTTGTTTTCTCGGTCAATGTTCAATGTCTCATTAAATTTAGCCTAGCACCAAGCCTGGAAACTGGGGGGAATAGCTACCTTAGCAAACATGCTACCTTGGGCCCCATGAGGGGTTACTGTGGGCAGTCACATGGGCCACAGTGTCTGAGAACCAGTATGAAATGTAGGACGCATCGGGGCCCCGAACTGTAGAGCAGAGTGTGGGCTTACTCACTGCAGGCCTGTAATGGGCCACACAGTTGGTTCCTCTCTGCACATAGTACTGGCTGCCCCACTGGGGCCTAACTGTACCTGACAGTGCAGGTATATGCCATACATTTCGTGTGAGTCCCAAGGTAGGCTGCAAAACTGGGCCCCTATGTGCTCTATCAGATACTGAGATATGATATAATTATAGCTCATTGAGTACATATTTTCCACCTCACATGCATCAAACTGGAGTGAAGAGTGGACCAGAATGTCACTCAAACAAAAAACAACAAACTACTTAGGGGGTCACCACAACAGGCAGCTGCTCATATTTAATTTGGCAGATTTTTACACCACTTTCCTGAAGTCCATTCCATATCAACAACATCCAGCCATTGCAATTTTGCCTTTGGACTACCAGAGTTTTATATGGGCTATGTGTTACCAGAGAAGACCCTTATGGAGACCCAAATGGGAAAACTGCTATGGGCTGCACTTAGGCTTTCTTTAAGGAAGCTCAAAACATGCATGTGTGGTTTTTCCTGCCCACACAGCACAGTTCACTCAAATCTGCCCACTATGGACTCACATGGTGGCATTTTTTGTTGGGCATCCTGTCTCTGTGCAAAGCTAGGCTCTAATAGGCATTCCCTCTTGTTGCTACACTTGGTGTTAAGCTAATATTAATTGCTGGTTGCTGTGCAGGCATGGTACTGGTATTGTCTTGTAGTGCCAACCGTTAGTAGCTTAAAAGAAAATCAAGTACTGCTCTGGACACTAGACACTGGGAATGGTCAGATTAATCTTTCCATTGTTTTGAGTTTTTTCATTATGCCCACTCTTTGAAATATCTGAAAGTCTGACACTGAACAAAAGATCAGCTCTATCACATGGATACACTGCCCTCCTGCTGTTTTTACCATTCAGTTACATTGCTGCTGGTAGAACTTCAAAGCTGCACAAATTCAAAGAAACTTTCAAAGAAACGTGAGAGATTTAACGCCTGTTTATGGGCGTAAATGGTACTTTCCGATTTCTGAGGCAGAAAACATTCCACTGTTGGATTCTTAGTCTTTTTTTTTTTTTAGTTGCTTTGCCTGAATTTCTTCCTGTGGAAGTGAAAAGCAGAAAAATATCAGTTGAAATTCTTTTTATTGCGCATTTCACCATTTAACATCACAAAGGTACTGAAGAGTAATAATGTTTTGATTAATTAATCAAACCCAATCATTAAAACACTTGCTGCTATAAAATGTTTTAACAGCTAATTTTAATGTCTAATTTTGTAAACAAATATATATATTTTAAGCAGTTTTAAAATGTAATTTTAAATTATGTGATGAAATGTTCTTTCTTAATGCAAAACAGAACATTTTTAACAGAAACTGTAACATGTTTGTGCTTTCTTTCTTATCTGGATCATGCAAAAAAAAAAAAAAATGTTTTGTGTTTGCTCTGCAGAACTTCCATTTCAATTTGCAATAAATCTGTATCTGAAGCCACTCTTGCGTGCTTCGTGGGGGGCTGACCTTGGTCACACTTTTTCAGCCTAGACTTACTGATCAATTATGGGCTTTCCCAGCCTCCTCGCTGCCTGGCATATGGGTGCTTAAAGGCGCCAGAGTGGAGGAGAAAGAGGGGTATCATTTCATGTGGAGATCAGGGCCTATAGGCAGTGAATGGGTGGATTTAGAGGAGACTGTGAATGAGAGAAGGGGGTCCTCGCTTGTACCAAAAAAAAAGAGAAAAGAATCTCCCACAGATCAGGGGAAGAGCCTTTTTGGGAATATTCATGATGAGGATGAGGAGGCATCATGAATTCATGTGTGTCTGTGAATCCCGCGGATCATCTTTTCGGTAAACACGATGTCCACAGAGCCAGGATGTCGTGCTTTCTGTCTGTGTTTGCGATGTAGTTTCGTGGATAGTGTTGCCTCTCCACAAAGCAATATGGGTTTTTGTGTACTCTCTGCTGTATTCCTTTTGTATCAGTAGAGGAACAGATGGAGAGTGGTAGAAAGACATAAAGAAGCTAAAACACACAGTCTTTCTTCCTCACAGCTAGCTACTCGCTGAAAAAGGTTTTCTCAAGCTTGCACTCAGACGTGCGCTATTTCAAGCATTTTAGACTTTTTCTCCCCCCCCCGCCCACACGTTTTGGTTTTTTTTTTCTTTTTCTTTTGGTGTTGTGTATTTCCAAGACGTGGGCCCGTGGTGCACAGTCTGTCTGCTGATTGTAACAGTGTCTGCTCAGGATATTTTGCATAGTAACGGCCCCCAAAGGCACACTTTTCTCCACCATACGTTGTTCTTTTAGGTGTTACGCATGTTTTTGCACATCACTGTCCTGCAGCTTCTTCAACGTTGTTGGACCCCCCTTAAGACCCTTGATTAATACTCGGGACACAAGGCCAACCTGATGCTCGCTTACTTACGCCTGGCCTCATTTTACAGATGACACAAAGGCTCCCATGTTCGGTAAAAGGTCCGTGACCCACCAGACGGTCACAAAGCCCTTCTCCTCCCTCATGTCACCTAAGCATGGGTTCCCTCACTGGGCCTTGGTGGCGTTCCTGTCCCCCCTTCCTTTATCAGTCCTTCCAGGCCTGAATGGGCTCTGTGGTTGGTCAATAAATTCAGTGATTCAGGGGGTGGACAGTTGCAGCCGTGTTAACGTTTGTTCACAGGCTTGTCGGAGGGATGGGCCCCGCCCCACGGCCCTTTGTCTCCTGTGGTCTCTCATCAGGTTAGAAGTCAATGGAGGGCCTTGTGCGGAGGTGGCAGGGGCATGGATGGAGCCGCCTCTCACATGGCCTTCACACAGGGGGAGGACCGGTTCGGATCACTGCGACACTTGTTAGAGTGAGGCCGCACAACATTTGCCGGGGTTGCTCTCCCTGAGGGCGCTTTAAACAAACTAATGGTTAGAGGCTGCAGAGTTGCACTGGGGTAAGATGATCTGCACTCGGAGGCCTGCGGTGGCCAAACTGAAAAGGAGCGCACAAGTGTATCTTACAATCTCCATTTACAGATCTGACTGAGAGCAAAAAGAGGTCAGGCCTTCATTTACGGTGACACTATTTAAATTTGGACTAGAATGGAACCAATGCATTTCAGTGGCCCCTGAAGGTGCCACAGTGTTGCTGAGTTATGGCCGTTTTCTCAGGCTCAGCTGGGCCGAAGCATGGGAACAGACACAAACGGGAGAAAAGGGAGACAGAGAGCCATAGATAGAGCAAGACACAAACAGTGGAGGGCTTTAGGAGACAGAAAACAGTGGACAGAAAAAGACGCACTGTGACTGAAGAGGGACTTAGAGGCATGACTGAGGCCTAACTGTCATGAGAAGATGAGAGTTGCCATGGCCACCCAGGAGCCACCCAGCAAGCATGTGAGCAGGGGAGACTCGGGGGCCAGGGGCCTGGGCCCGGGCTGGTGGATCACATGCACTAACCAGGGATTATGTGCATAAGTGATGAGTGCTAAGCCGGCAGGTGAAGAAGGGAGGCCCGGGGACAAGGAGCGGGCCATCCCTCAGGACGGCTCCCTCTGTAAAGAGCAGGGACTTTTTTTTTGCCAAGTGAGGCTGATCTGCTGTGTGAAGGGGACTCAGCCAGAGGTCCTCGAGTGCTGAAAGGGCATCCCCCAGGCTGCTTTCACAGCATAAGTGGCCAAAACGCTGGTCTTGTGAGTCATCTTGAGTGGCAAGAATGGGGCATCTTCACATTCATAAATCCCAACACAAACACACTCATGGATATAGACTAAGCTTGGGTGAGGATAAGCGCCACATGGTGGGACATCATCAGGGCTCTTCTTGAGGGACGCTTTTTGATTGTTGCAAATATTAAAAGAACAGATCACTCAACACACAAACAGAACAAAAAAAGATCCAGTTTAACCCCTAGCTAAGTTAATTTTACGGTATATTTATAGACAAGACGCTCTTTTTCTAGGCAGGATCAGAAGGTTCACAAGTTGCTTTACTGCAGCGAATCAGCGCTCATGATATCAATGGCCTTACAGGAATGTGTTTGAACCATGATGGCACAAAGAAATCACATTCCCAAAGATTCCACGGAGAGAAAACAGTTCACCAATCTACCCCCAGTACCTTTTCAAGACGGTGGTATCCCTGAACATATTAACATGTAAATACACTTAGATACTTTGACAATGCACTGAAATGCATATAATCTACATGCTAACTAGCGCTTTAAAGAGTTTCCACTGCTGAATGTGGTTTAGGCAACACTTTCATGTCTGGGTTTTAAAAATTAAATGTGAGGCCTCTCTTAGAATTTCTCAAAGCGGTTTTCAATTTGATGAGGGATAAGGCGATGACTGGGTTTCCCTTTCAAAGGGGGAGACCCAGATTTCAATAAGACTTCAGTCTCCTTGCCTTTGGCTTCAAGTTGAAGATCTAAATGATGCCTTTTTCTTTTATGAGAAGAAGAAGAAACCCTATGTTAGGTAACAGATGGCAGGTTGTTGTGCTGAAATACCAGTTGCTATGCTCCCCCTTTTCCTCCGCAGCTTCACTTGCCATAGCTAAGCATCCCATCAGAAGCTGGTGTACTGACTTGGAATAAGCTGACTTGAAACTGCTCAGGTTGTTGTTGACAAACATGAGCCTAGATGAGTCTGCTAATCTCCTGGTCCTTTATCCGCTCTTTATTGCCGTATAAACAGGGCTGAATACACCAAAAAAACTAAACCTCTGTTTGCAGCCTTCTCTTATCTCACGCAGGGTTTAATCTGATGCCCTCTCCCTCTTTTTACATCTCTGCCTCTGCTAAATCTGCTAAATTCAGCCATATTTTTGATTCAGCACATCACCATGACAACCGGTTATTTCCCATCCCGGAGAAGCCGCCCCCCACCTCACTCCCATGCTCCTCTTCTCCATTGATACTGCTACCTCCCCCCTACCCCTTCTTTTTTTTGTCCAAATAAAACAAAGCAAAGAGTGAATGCTCTCTGAGGTAGGTAAATGTATTCAGTGACATCAGCCAGGACTAGTCTATTCTGCTGGATTCCTGTACCACTTGTTTCCAGCCTTGTCTGGGGGCTGGACACTCTGTTGGCCCCATTGTCCCACGTGTATTCCTCACAGGCCTGCAATTAATGGAAGCCTTGTCTAAGGCCTCTGGAGCAGAAACTGCTGTTGGGGAGGGGGACAATAGGCGGGCCGAGCTGGGGCTGGGAGTCGCAAAGGGTGGGAGGGCCTCCCCCTCCTTCTTCTTTAAGGGGGAATTCAAAGCCTGAAGACGGGACGGAGAGTAAGCTGAGCACTGGATGAGATGTTTAAGCGATCCCTTCTGTCTGTGCCCTCCCCTCCTGGCTTGAGATGTTTTCATGCCAGCAGTTGAAAGGGAATCTTTGCAGTATTTGATGATGAGGATGGTCATTTCACTGCCCACACAGAGGTGGCGGCTGGGTGGAGGAGGAATCACGGCCGCAGCCTTCAGGTGAAGATGGGAGAGGAGTGTGACTGCTGCCCGCTTTCTAACCTCTACGTACAAAGACATTTCATCCATACGTGACTTTTAATCACTTTTACTGTTGTTATTTTAATGCTTTACATGTGCTGAGAAAAGAATCGCTGCTATGTTTTGTGCTGATCGTGGTATAAATCTCTGGACAGGGGACAGCTTCACATGCCAGAGCTATATCTTTATAGAGAGGTTAAACTGCTGGACTTAAAGCATGTTTGAAATTATGTTGTGAATGAAACAATGTTTTAAGGAAACATGGGAGGGAAAAAATTTGTTTGTGCAGGTAAAGATAACTCTATACTTGTGTCATAGGGTGTAATTAGCTACATCCTCTAATTGAAAAGGAGGCAAATCTTCCTGAAGGCAAAGGCTATTGATCATAAGTAGTATTTCATTATATTCATTCTTCTTGTATGATATGTATTAAGTGTTATATTATCCGCTTTCCAAAGAAATCTCGTAAAGTTTGAACATTTCTTAATGTTGAACACTGACCAAACTCCCAAACTCCCCCTTGATAAACACCTGACTGTATGATCGCTGGCATCCACATGCTGTGTGTTTGCAAATGTAAGCCAAATGTGGTCAAAGTATATAAGAATCAAGAATAATTCATACATTTAAGGCCCTGTTTTCCTCAGCTTGTCACTATCTGTCACGCGTTACACCCGGATAGCTCGGACCGCCCCACCCTAGAGTTCCCACACTGATACAGATCAGGATTGTGCTGTAAACCTAATTTCTACATCGCCATCTGCACAACCGGGGCCTGTTTATGTCCCCCAACAGAGCTGGTAGGATGTAATTTAGTGCTGCACCAAGTGTTTCATCTGCTGCATGCAGAACCTCTTTGTAATTTAGCAGCTTCAGCTTCAAGATTAACAGAGCATTTAATGCAAGCAGCCACTGAATCTGAAGCTCTGATGTGAGTGTTTGTGTGTCACGGATCAAAAGGTTTTGTGTTTGAGAGCATCTGAACTGTGTGTTGTACAACATTTTGTGGAACAAAAATAATCTTCAATAATGTTTCCATAAGGACAAACATGCAACAGCACTCTGCTGACAGCTTGACAGTGACTTTATTACTGACAATGAAAGACTGGTTCTACTTCAGGTTTCATCCTGTTATAAGGGAGTTTTTCCTTCCCACTGTTGCCAAGTGCTTGCTCGCAGGATTTCGTCTGATTGTTGACATTTTCTCTGTATTATTGTGTTGTTAGGGAGTTTTTATTGTTTTATTTGCTTATGCTTCAAAAGTTATGTTACACATATTCCACCAGACACAGTTTTCCGTAGAAACAGGAAGCTGACCCTGTGACACTGGGATTTACCACAAGAGACCAGCACTGAAATACATATCCGCAGAAGTTGACTTGCATTATATTATTCTTAGAAATTGACTTGCAACACACATACTTTGTGACACACACACACACAGCTTGCATGCAGACAGCATCAGGACCTGCGTAACAGGAAATGTGATTATATTTGCATATTGACGATGTAACCTATAAAAATAAACGAATACTGCAGTTCGGTGTGATTTGCTCTGAGATTTTCACCCGTGCCGCACGTTGTCAATCTTAAGTGTCTCAGTG